CGTCACAGCAAAGCAACCAGCACTAGAATATTACTGCAAGAAGTGCGGAAGGCCAAATACGGGACTGTCCACTTCGAGTGCGAATGCAAAGTAAAGACCAATTTGCCGCGAGTGTGCCAAGAACATTTGTGTGGAATACCAAATAATGAACTTAGAATATATCTGTGTGTTTTTGTTGCTCTGTAATGAATAATCCACCCCGTAAACGGGCATAGTGAATTTAAAAAGTGCCCAAGATCTAACAAATTCTATGAAGTAATAAGGATATTCACAAGGTAAGTGGGTCATGGGTGAATTGTCAAAAAGTTCTAACAATGATGAATAATATTATTTCGGTTGTGAAATGTGTTAAGTACTGTTAAATAAGTCTTCAGGTTGTTTTGTTTTACTGCATAATCCTAATTGCTTAGTTTTAAAATGTTAAGCCTCCAAAGTTTTGTTCCCCTGCTATAATTTTGTTCACGAAAGGCTTAGAATGTATGTGTTTTTAAGTTTCTTTTTGGTTCTAGTCTATATTAGGTTAACGCTTGTTCTGCAAAGAATTGAAAGATTGATTCATTATGCAATATCCTAAATGATTCAATTGCTCAGTATAAAATATATTTACAGGTACAGGGCAATTTCCTGACGAACCATATCATATAACCCTTAAAGATGATGCCCAGTAATACACCCAAGAGCGTGTTCCTCAGCTTTACAGCCTAATTAAAATATTTAAATAAACTGAAAGAGAGGGATAGTATCGAAAGTAAATAACCACTGATTGGGTTTCAAAGTTGGTTAGTGAAAAACCAATGGGAGTCTGAGATGCTGGATCCTAGACATCTAAATAAAGTAATTAAAGGGACACTATCAATTCCCTTCTCCAGATGAATATAATTAGTAGGTTAGAATGTAAAAAAGTATTTTCAGTAGTTTAAAAGAATTTTGGCATGTCCACTAGATGAAGCTAGTTCTGAAGTATGTACATTTAATCCTCCTATGGAAGATATAATTTAATAAAATGCCATTTGGAATATCCTCCGCCAAAGAAATTATTCAAAAAGAACCAAAATTATTTGGTGATATTGAGGGTGTGAGTTTATTTGATGATACATAATTGCAGGATCTAGAGGTTACTCATGATAATTATCTCTAAGGTCTTGAAGGCGGTCTCTAAATTTAAAAATTTCCTGATAAATTACAATATAGGGTCCGGAAGTCCCAAATATGTAGGCAAATTTTTTGAGTAGGTCTAAGAATATTAAGCAATAACGCATTATTGATAGCCAACACCAAATGCTAACCAATTGAAAAGTTTTAGTGGGTAAAGTGTGATAGTTCGAAGGATGGCCTAGGATCGTGTCTAAATCAAAGGGTAAGCCTGTATCATTTGTGTCTCACAGCCTGACTAACAGTGAAAAAAAAAACTATGCACAGATCGAAAAAGAGCTATTGGCCATAGTATTTTCTTTTGAAAAGTACCACGATTTTGTTTATGGACGGAAAGTCACAGTACAAAGTGGTCATAAACCTAATGGCAATTGTTAAGAAACCATTGCATAAAATCTCGTCTAGAATGCAAAGGATGATCTTAAAATTACTAAAATATGATTTTGAGATAAATTATGTTCCAGGTAATCAAATGCTTTTTGCTGACACTTTGTCACGTGCATATCCTGTGAATGAATTTATTAGTGATGATCCTGAAATGCTAAATGTTGTTCACATTATTTCAAAATATTTGCCTATGAGTGAAAGAAGAGTGGTGCAATTTAGGAAAGAAACTGAATCAGATCCAGATTTGCAAATTAGTTATGAAATATATTAAAGAGGGTTGGCCTAAATGTTACAAAAAAGTAGATAGTAGTGTAAAAACATACTTTTAAAGTTTAAAAATGATCTTTATATTAATGACGACTTGTTATTTATTAATGAAAAATTAGTTGTACCTTATGGTTTGAGAAAAGATATGTTGCAGTTGCAATTAATTCATGAAGCGCACATTTTGGAATTGAGAAATGTAAAAGTAGAGCCCGTGAAATTTTTTTACTGGCCAGGTATGACAAATGACATTGAGCAGCTTGTTTCCAAATGTGAAATATGTGAAAAATTCAGAAATAGAAATCAAAAAGAACATCTAATGCAACATGAAATTCCAACTAAACCATTCGAAAAAATTGCCCTTGATATCTTGCAATTTGGTAATCAAAATTACTTAGTAGTTATCGATCGATATTACTCTAAATGGATTGAGGTTTCTAACATAAAAGATAAGACAGCAAATGAAATTATGATAAAGTTAAAATGCATCTTTGCCAGGTATGGTATTGCAAATGAAGTCGTTTGCGACAATAATCCCTGTAATAGCTACTTATTTAAGAAATTTGCTGAAGATTGGGATTTCGAACTTAAATTTAGTAGCCCCAGATATCCTCAAAAGTAATGGGTTGGCTGAAAAAGCTGTAGGAATAGTGAAAAATATCATCAGAGAAAAGTGCAAGATATAAGTGTAGGCTTTAATGGAATATCGAAATACCCCAATTAGTGGAATAATTTTGTCTCCTGCACAACTGTTTACTTAATAGAAGATTAAGGACAAAATTACCTATCAGTAATAAATTGTTAAATGCTAAGATAAACAAGCCTTATTCTAAATTTCGTGCACTTCAAGCTAGGCAAAAATATTATTATGATAGAACCGCACAGAAACTGATTGAGTTAAAACCTGGAGATAGTATAAACTTGTTCAACTTTAGAACTGGGCAATGGGATAAAGGTGAAATAATTTCAAAACATAAAGCTCCTAGATCCTATATTGTAAGAAATTCAAATGGGGAAATATTGCAAAGAAACAGACGCCATATAAAATTTTCAAAATCACCTTACAAAGTTAATAATGATTATGATGATATAGTATTAGATAAAGAGGAAAATTCAAATGGAAGCCCTGAGAATGTTTCTGTGCCTGTTAATATAGGAAATCAACAGAATAATCTATCCAATAGTATACAATAACAAGAAGTGGACGGTTGATTAGACAACCTTCAAGATATAGAGACTTTGTCATGGAATAAAATAATGTAACGTATTGCACATATCATTTTTATGTAACTTTTTTTGTTATTGTATGTCATATTGTAAATATACTTGTATTGATATTATTTGGTATTTTTATTATTGTTTATAAACTGGAAGAAGGGATGTGATGTATATTTAAAATAACTTTAACTTTAATGGCGCTCATGCTATGCGATTCCGTTGTTGTGATGCACATATTACTGTGCTAGCTGAATGTCATGTGAACTGTTTAAAATTGTAATAATAAAAGTTTTGAATTCTTGAGATATACTCATTAGTTGAGTCTTCTTTTAAAGTACAGAAGTAATTAAATTCAACAAACTACACAAGAAGTTACACTTGTCCACACAAGGCTAATCTGGTGATGATTTTTGGGAAAATAGAGGTACTAATTGGATGGACTGTCCAGCCAGACCTCTAGCTTACAGAATATCTGGGATACTTTAAAAATCTGTCCACCATTCTAAAAATAATCGGCCAAATGAAAAAAAAATATCTTAATTTTGAATATCGGTTTACTTGCAGCAAAATATTATGAAGAAATACATATAAAATGACTATTTAAAGGATTTGTTATGCTCAAGAGCAAAATATTTTTATAACACAGAAGATAAATCAATGATCTTATACTGGCAACTGGCAGCAATTTCTCGCTTTATCAATTCAATCCTTTTGTAGTTTTGGTATTCAATTTACAATTTTTTTTGTTACATTTGATTCTTATCACAAATTTCATATACTGCATTCTAATACATCATAATAAATTAAGAAACATTACTACTCTGTATGGTCTTCCCCAAAAATATAAATAAAGCAGTTTGCACCACAGAATGAGTATTAAAACAATACAGTAACTTGATAAAAGGAGGTGGAAGGGAGAGAAATATTAAAATTTAATATAATTAAATAAATGATATAAATTTATGCAGAAAAACAAGACAAATTTTACTTATTTTTCAATACTTACAGTTCTTTACTTATTTTTCAATACTTTATACTTAAAAGTTTTTATTTCACTCTTATACAGGTGGAAGTGGGGAAACTCTGGCTAATCTATGCAACATAATTTTTATTTACTTACCTTAAATTCTATAAGCACACTGCTTATCAATACAAAACAAAGCAAATCATCAGTAGATAATATGGACTTCTTAACCATTCTTAACAACAATTAAAAAGGAATAACAACAATCATAACAAAAGAAAAGCACTCAGGCATTTGAAATTGTAATACCTTTTATTACTGATTTATATTCATTTGAAAACAATGTTATCCATATGATTCCTGTTGCCATTACATTTTAGTAACACTATGGCACAGTATGTTTCCAGTTAAAATATGTGTTTTATTTCTGTATAATGAATAAATTTTGAATTAAAAAGGTTTCCCCACAGATTGAATGAAAGCAGTCTTTAATTTGCTAGCCACAACTGCCTACAATATTACTATTAACTAAAAATTAAGCTATCCGAAAAATCAAATTGTAAATTTTTAAAAACTCATTTCCAGTTTTTCAAATAACCAATAACAGATCTCAACACAATTCAGTAATTTTCTTTTTTCTTAAATTGATACAGAAGTATAACCCAACTCTATGCATAAACACCTTTTGTTTTTTGTCATAACTTGGAATACTATATTCTAACATAATATTATATTTTTTAAAACTTGAGTGACAGCTTGCTAATGATACAATAAAATAAATTATACATATTAACCCTCTGAGCGTTATGGCTGGCTTTATCCGGTCATGAGATTTTTTGTTACTTGTTATATATCAGCTTATAATTTTTGATATTTTGCTTTCTTACTTTCTTTAATAATATAAATATCATCTTAATAAATGTAAGTTTATGAAAATAGAGGTTAAAGTAAGTAAATATGCAAATTTAGCTAATAAAGCATCTTTGAATGCAGGTCTTTATAAGAGATCCAAAAACCCGTGCCGCTCAGAGGGTTAAAATTATAATGAATTCATAAACTATCATGCATATATAAATACAAAAAATTAATACCACCTTAAGAATCTTGCATGGTTGAAGTCTTTATTTGATGGCAATTTGCATGCAGAGATAACAATAACTTTTCTTCCATAAGAATCATCACCTAGTTTAAATTAGAAATAACATTTAAGAATGTGAAGAGATACTCGTAAATAACTACATAAAAATGATCTTGCCTCTATTATCATAGACAGTTATATGCCTTCTGCAACATTATTTTGGTGCTTATGCATTATCCTACGAAGAAAAATTTTAATTTAGGACTTGACTTCTAAGGAATAGCAAGCAGTAGATTAGTTATGGAACTCCCTATCTTAAAAAAAAAAAAAAAAAAAAAAAAAAAGTTTCAATGGACATGATATGGGTCAGTTGAATTTGGGCAACAAAACAGTAACAATTTCGCTGAATTACCTGCATAAAGTTTGTCCTCAAAGTTGGAGGGGGCCTAACAAAATAGAAACTGATGAAAGCCTATTTCTGAAGCAGGTTGTTAAATCTCTTTGAAATGAGATGGTGCTGCCATCACTACTGTAAAAGGAAGGAATCTTTACTTGGCTTCTGCTTGTGAAGCATGCGTGTGGATGCCAGAGTGTCTTCGAAGTATGTGAATAAAATTATTAATTAGTTAATTGATGAGTTACAGACCACTGTTTAGTTTTTAGCGAGACCATTTTGAGACGTCCAACAGAACCAGGATGAAATCTGTTGAATAAATAAGCAAGCTGTAGAAGTGATTCTGCCGCCATTTTTAGTTTCTGGAGAATATATATTTGCGGATTAAAACCAGATGCTGAAAGGAAGGTGTAATTAGTTTTTGAAGTTCTATGTATTATTAACTTTTGCACTGAATAAATTCTGAATTAAATTTGTGTAATAACTTGTAATTATTGATAAGGGTAGCAAACATGGCTATGAAAATGAAAGATGCCCTTTCTAAAGCAAACTCAACAAATTATTGAGACTGCAAAAGAAACTTTCTGAGCCAGATCTTCTAAGTCTTACTGACCATTCTAAGTCTTACTGACTTAGAATGGTTAAAAACTAAATTTAACAATCTGCAAAATGTGTTTGTTAGTATTTTTGATTCTATTTTTAATTTAAGTGCTAAAGAAAATGTTGAAAAAACCTTGAACGAACAAGATGAAATCAACATTAATCTTAATGATATGTGTAACTTTCACCAGACCACTCTTTTTCAGACTTTCCACTCAGCACTTTGACCTTTTGCTCCAGATACTAAGTCTCATCTCTGGTGACAATGTTTAGCAAAAATTTTAGATTCTTATCAGCCATGATAGTCAGATCTTTGCAGGAGGAAATTTGATTTCTTTTTCTTCAGGGCATAGTGTGTGTGGAACAAAATGCACACGGAATTTCCTTCTTTCTTTTCTTTTCCGAATCCTCCATCATGATCATGAAAACAGATCTCAACACTAAAGTTTAACAACTATGCTATCAGTTTGATTATCATTCAGTGCTCAGATTTCACCAACACTTGCATAAGCTCAACATTTTCATCATTCTGGCTCAGAACATGGACAACACGATCTGTCATTGTCTCTGGCCAATTCTCTTCCAACTCTTAACCTCAGAAACTTATAAACAAATTACAGCATCATCTTCATACACAGATTTAATCATTTTTTACATTTCCAGGCCTAGTTTTTCCCAATTTAAAACAAAATTTGATGTTTGCTCGTTGCTTCATTTTTTCACATGACCATGACTCACAAATGTCAGTTATGAAAATGAAGGCTGCCGAGTCTGAACTAGTCAGAAATAAATGCAACCATTTGGTATACATGGCTGAAAATTGTGGCTATGTCATCCTATTGGCTTTGAAGAGGATCAGTATTTTTTTTTACAGGTGGGAAAGCATATTTTTAATTTACAGCAAGAATAAAAACATGTACATGAAATATTAATCTGAATACAGAATTAATATGCAAGAGAGTTTCAAATTAAAAAAAAAAATTACAGAGTATAAATGATTTACTCCATATGTAGCAAATAAAGCAGGCTTTTATACTATTCAGAACCATTTAATTGTAAAGGTTATATAGAAGTATTAAAAAAAATTAAGGACTAAATGTACCACTTACACTCATATAAAAATGAAATTATACATTAGAAGATTTAATAGAAACTATCACACATTTATAACACTACTTATCTTACCTGCAATCTCAATGATGCCATATTTAGAAATATCTGAGTAATCATCTTCCTCTTCTTCTACAATCTTATTTTCATTGTTTTCATCATCATTGTCATCTAATTCAGGTGGGAAACCATCCGTGCCCAATATTTCTTCAAAATTATCTTCCATTAAGCCATCTGACATGGGAGATTCTAGGAGATCACTATCTGTGTTTGCGGTGTCCTTATCATTGTCCAAATCCATATCTGATGATTTTTGGGGGAAAAAAAAAAACCTCAGCAATATATTATTACACATAGGTAAAAGATTTCATAAAATACTCATTCTTTAATTTTTATCAGTTATCAGCTATTTCCAGTTAAAATGTAAAAATTCAAAATTTGAAAATTAATTAACACATTAAAAAGTTTCATGCATTTTGACAGCCAAAAGATTAAATGTATTAAAACTGGACACAGTTTTAAGATTTTATTAATACATAATTAAAAAAAATAAATCACTTAGGTTTACAAATTGTTCATCTATACCTGCTATAAAATTTCAAAATTTTAAATTTACATTGATAATTAAATACAAATTCATAAAAGAATGATTTGGAAAGCAACTCTTTGCAAAAATAACTAAAATTTAATTTGAACCTAAAAGTAAATTCTAAGAGAAAAATTACTATTTGCCTACCAAAAATCATATTTACATTGTCATTGTCAAAATCATATTTACTGTCATAATTTTATCTTATATTCCTTCAAAATTCTGGTTATGCATCTACAATAAGAATTTAAAAAAAAAAAAAAAAAAAAAAAAATCCGAAGGCCTTCAGATTTTTTAGTACGCCCAAAGGGCATTATTATAACGCTTTGTGTGCTACCTTTATTTGTTAAATATCATGTTGTTCGCACTTAAACCATAAAATTGAATTCAACAGCAATATCACAAAGCATTTAAATGAGCATATCTTTAGGATTTCTGATACACAGTCTTGTGCGCTGGAGATAAAAATGTTTATTTCCCATACAGTGCTGCCATTGCTCGCTTTGAAATCATTGAGTTTCTTAATCAAAAACTCATAAATGCTTCACATAAAATGAAACAGATAATAGAACAAAGTTGGGCTTCCCCATGCCCACATTCGGGTGGAGACGTACCTTATTCAAAACCTGATGGCTCTAGGTACCAATGTTTTATCACAATGCCAGAAACATGCATACATTTATGCAGATTCTTTATTATTTAATTTCTTTAAATATTAAAGAGGCTCTGATATTTGGTGGCAACAATTGGTGCTACTTTGGTAGACAGTTGCACGGATTTTTGGGGATTTACGTTGGCGCGATTTTTACAATCGTCAGCCATCTTGAAAAAGGCTGTTTTTACGCATAGTAAAGTATTCGAAACTTAAAAAAAATTAATATGGTTAAAAGTAATGGATTACTTTTTTGTTGAAAATGTTGTTTTTTAAGATGGCAGACAAGTGTAAATAAATACATTTACTATAAGTATAAAATATTAAAGTAAGGCTATTATTACTTTCATATAGCAAAAAAGAGAATAAAAACACCGCTATAAAAACATTGTGCCAACGTTTAATTAGATTAAAATATTACTGAAATTGAATATCGAATTAAAAACCATCCTACCAACATTTAAAAGATTAGAATATTATTAAATTCAAATACTTTAAAATACGTTATATAAAATATAATTAACATTAAAACATATGTGACAATAATTAACTCGGCAATTTTTGAAAATAGTGTATTAATTTTTTTAACAAAAATTGAAATATACAATCTAAAATAAAAGAAAAATATGTACTTACATTTTTTTAGTAATTTAACCTCTTGTTTATTGATAAGTACCACAAAAAAAATCGAAATCATTAATTGAATTCGGCTCTTTTAACCATCTTCATCTGTTATCCACATATCTCGCACTTCATTGAAAGAAGCAATTAGCGAGGTTTCCTCCAAAAATTTAAAATAATTTCCCTCTGACGCTATTAACAATTTATAAATAAATCTTTGATTAGGAAAGACAGGTTGGGCCAAAATAAGGTCTCAAAGGGCAATTTTTTTATTCCAATACTATAATTCTTGGTAATTACCAATAACAACATTCATCTTCGAAACGGAGATATCCATTCCATTTGAAATCTGACGAATTCGAAGAGATGAATAATAAAATTTTAAAATGGCACGGTAATGCACAAATATTCAGTAATCAATCAGGGAACTGATTACATCATGCGTAGAATTAAAATTACTTAAATAATCATTCATAATAAAATCATTTTTAAAACAAATGCAAAATTAAATTGTATTTTAATATTTAACAGCCATAAATAATGTTTAAAACATTAGATTAAATTTATAGATATGAATAAAACCAATTACTTTTTAAGTAAGGTGATGTCATTGATTACATCATCCACAACATAAAATTTCATAAAATATGATAAACAATAAAATTTTTATTTTAAATAAAAATGTAAAATTAAACTGATTTTTAATATTTAGAAGCCATAAATAATATTTAAAACACGGAAGTTATGCATAATAAAACGCATTATTTTTTAATAAAATGACAACAAAATATCAGTTACCATAAATAACTTATCCAGCAATGGGTTTACCATAAGTTGTATTACTCGCCAAAAGAAAAATCGCTAAAATCCGTGCAACCGCCTACCAAAGTAGCACCCAACAATTTAAAAAGTGATTCGCTGTTTATAGTGAATCAATGCAAAATGCCAAAACAAAATTAATAGCCTTTCTGGGCAAATTGCCCCTTTTGGCTAATAAACAGCAGTTTCAAACAATTCCTGAATTGGTACACAAAGTGCCAAATTAATATTCTCAGATTTAGAATTTAAGAGAACATGTCCAAGAATTTTTTAACAAATTACAGGATCTGTCTAGAAATAATATATTTTTTAAAGAAGTACTATATTGTAATGGTTTTTAAAATATAGTTTAGGTATTACAGTGTATTACAGCACTAAAAATACAGTGAAATCTCTCATAGTAACCATAGGAGTAGAAAAATTTAATAGTCGGAATAGTAGTAGGAAAATTTAATAGAAATATTTTCTTTCTTGACATGCTATCAGTTACAGAAAAAATAAAATAAAATTTCAACAATTTCTCAAGATGTTGCCAAATATTACCAAATATCAAGATTAAGTAAACAGATAATTAGGCAATTCAGAACCAAGAAAGCTAAAATATTATTGTTAAGTACAAAAAATATACCAAATGAGATAATATGAATAATTATAAAAATATACAAAGAGAATTGGGAATAGGATAAGGAAAAATTTATTATTTCTGATTAAAATTTTTGTTTCAGCATTAAATGTTGATTGCAACGCTGAATGAACGGAAAATTTCAATATGTTTGTCTGGACCTTTTTGAATTTGAATATAATTTAAAGACATTCATTCTAAAATGATATAGAATACATCAAGCTTAAATGCCCAAAAATTAAATTTGGTTGAATTTTATTTCTAATGAAATATTTTAGTCATTAATGTATTAAAAATAAATTTTCTGGTATTTTTGTGTTAAGAAAATACATAAGACTGAAATCGATATTATACAATCATTACATGTTTTATAAACTTCTTTGTAAAGTAAATTAAGTACCTTTTCTATATTTAAGGATAATTTAAAGAAGGAAATACTAGTTTTTTTTTTTTTAATTCTGCAACCTTGGCACAGGATTATTTGTGGCTATAAAAAGACTTCAATGACCTAATTTTGTTTATAAAAATGTTCTGTAAGAAATGCGTTTTGATAAACATTCATTTAACTTTATAATTCTATTACTATCCCTCGAAGAGACAAAAAATTCAATAAAATATGTCTATTAGCTAGTAGAAACTAACTGAAAACTGGATCATAACATGAAATCAAATCAAGCAATATTATAGAGACAAATCTTGTTATCTAGAAATACAAATGAAAAAGGATTCAAATATTTGATACCCAAAACAACTTGCACGACACACTTATGACTGAAAAAATTCTTAAAACACTGACCTGCTTCTACTGCATGAACTAATTCTGTGTCATCAAACTCTAGCGCAGGTTCAAAATCACAACTATGGTCTCCAGGTACGCTATCACTACTTGATGACCTGGATGACTCCCCTGTTAGCAAGAAAAACAATATCAGTCACAATAATGCCAAAGTCCACAAAGGGGCAACTACAGAAGATAACTTTATCAGAGGTAACAGCAATACACATTTCTTTTTAATATCTTACTGTATACCATTAGATATCTCACTAAGAAGATTTTTAGTTCTATTACATATTGAAAAAGATTAAATCACTGAAATCAGACATTTTAAAACGAAATAAGATACTTGGTATGTTAAACAGCTAAGTAGTATTCCTAATTTTGTTTTTGTTGACAATCAGATTTTCAAGTTTAGAATTTGTTTTTGTTGAAGATAATGGTTTAATAAAAATTTATAACTCTGAAATGAGACTATCTCCCAATTAAATATTCTACAGACAAAGAACAAATACAAGACAGTTTCTTTGGAAATGCATGTTTTTTTTTTTTCTTTTGCAAATATTGATACATGAATTGGTTTGCCAGAGGCATTTATTTTCCCAATGTTTCTTTCTGTCTGTTAGGTTAGGTTAGGTTATTTAATTACGGCAAAGCCTCGAGGGCTTTCTGCCTAAGGGTGGGGCTGCCTTCGTGGAGGACTTTCTAAGGAGAACTGGCTCATATACACGTTACACATGGGGAAAACCAAGAAACACCCATGCACTTCCCTGGATTCGAACCTCGGACCGAACTACCAGTGTTCAGCGACTTTAACACTCGGCTGCTGGTGAGTCTTCTTTCTGTCTGACCTACTCTGTCTATATTATGAATTATATAAATCACCATTATATCTCCAAGATAGGTGCTTTTAGAATAAAGTTCTTCAACTAACTTTCCCTTTTTAATTACCAAAAAGGGCACAATTTTTTGGACATGCCTTGAATAAACATAAATGAACATGATGTTTACGTTTGCCAAACATCTGGCTTTTGAAACTTGAGTGATCAGATATTTTGCCTTAAAATACAACTCAGCTACAAAATAATAACCATTAAATACATGTACCGTATTTGACGGTATAGAAGATGCACTGGCATATAAGATGCACCCTTATTTAGAAGGCCACACCCAAGGAAAAAATGTTTAAAATAGTCCACAATAACTTAAATTGTGGTTTCTTTTAGTTCTTACGTTTCGTAAAAGCCAAATAAACAATCATTGAATGCAATTACCAAACATATTTTTATTAAGGAAAATTAACAAACGGCAAGCTATTTTGAACATGATATGTAAATTTCAATAATGAATAAATGGACGAACAGCAAACAATCAAACATAATACAAAAAAAAGCAGACACAACAAAAAACACAGATTCCAGGAAAATGTTGCCTATCATGAAATCAGACTTTAATCACTTTCAAAACTATAAAAATCCTTTTCACTATCATCATCATCGAAAACGAGAATATCGTCTTCACTACTGTTTCCGTCATCGCTAGTATCACCTTCTTCGAATAATGCGTCGTCTTCTGTTCCGTCAAGAGCATTACTGAAAGGACTTAACAATTATTTCAGCCTTTACGACCACTCAAGACTACCTCCAAGACATTTTTACGGCATTTTCAAGTTCAGGCCAAGATGGAGTTGGGCATCGAAGGTTATGTTTTTGTTATTTAGCAGTCTTCTGTTGATCTTCCTGCAGTCGCCAAGTACGTATCACTTTTTTCAGGTAGGTGGTATGGATTGAAATGCCTTTGCTGCTGCTCTGTTTCCGTGCACTTTGGCATAGTTTACCACTCGTAGTTTATACTGAATTGTATATCTTAATCTCTTGCTTCCTATAGTCATATTGTTCCAGGGTATTTTTTTAAACAAACAGTTTTAAGCGCCGATACCGACACGTTTATACAGAGTAGCACGGATACCAACACGTATGCCAGCTGAGTCAAAGAAGTCTACGTAAAGAAGGAAATCTCCACAGACGTAATGTGACCGTCGACCTGTTCAAACTTCGACATCAGCTTCGAGCTTTGGCGGCTTTTTAGGCGACAATATTTCCCGCAATGCGCAAATATTTGGCAGATATAAAAAGTTATGTGTGTCTAAACTTTATCCGGGCCAAAAATAGAATTCAGTATTGAAAGTTAACCTGTGTCCTTCACGTATAAGACTCAGGTAACTTTTTTGAGACCAAATTTAGGAAAGAAAGTGTGTCTTATACGCCATCAAATACGGTATTTAAATATTCTTTTCCAATGGGTTGTAGAGTGGATTCTTGATAATCATACATACTGTATTAGATATATGTAAAAATTTCACATCCACTATATTTCTGATCTCTGTAATTTTGAGTAAATTATATCTGGCATGCAAAAAATCATTCAATTCAGATTATGCAGAATACGCATATAACTACACATTTTGAATCATACTGCAGTTCATAAAATATGAAAAATAACATTATATCATTAACAGCAACTTCAAATTAAAAAAAAAATTCCTAAGTCATGATATGCATGACTATATAAACACAATAAAGCTTTACCTCACAGTACTAAATCCAAGGTCCTGAATTGTGGGCATGTTTGTGATTGTGAAAATTTCCAATTCTTCGAAACTATTAAATTAAAAGTATTAAAGGTTGTTAAAGAAATAATGAAGCATTTATGATCTCAAGGTAAACACAATTTTCAAAGAAAAAAAGTTCACCCTTTGCTTTATTTCATAAGAATTTTTTTTTTTTTTTTTCAATATAAGTTGTTTAAGCAATTTCATTTTATGTATTAATACTTTCTCTTTGAATTTATAGCGAGTCAAAATTTCTTGTTTAATTCCAGAGTTTTATTGTTCATGTTCTATAACTGCATTGAGAATTCCTACTGAGCAATCATTCTCAATACTCTCTTCATTACTTTCTTCACAATTGGCAGCAATATTTTCTAGATTTAAATCTATACTACATATCTCACTGTCCATTAATTGATTGATGAAGGGGCATTGTCATTATAGCCTTCTCTTCAACACCAATAAAAAGAAACTACAATGCGCAACATTCCATTCCTAACAAACCCTGGTCTTTGGAGATTATTTACTGTGTAAACAAGAGATAATGAAAATGCTGCTCTCCCTACTATAATATGACAGCTAGTAGGTGATTAAATCCAAAATAAGACATAGGATGATTTAATACTATCAGGTATGATGACGTTTTTATAACTACTGATTTTACTGATGAGAATGCTGATTTGAAAGGGGGAAGAATGTTATTGTTCCGAGATCCCGTTTAGGGTAAATAAGGCATGTAGGTCCGCTCAAGGGAAAGAATGTAAACAAAATAACGTTCGCAAAAAGCAACTGAGTGGTCTTTTGTTTGGGAACAGCACCAGTCTATGTACAATGACAAGGCCATCCAAACTATGTACAACGACAAGGTTATTCAAACTATGTACAATATCATCATAGGAAATATTTTATTTTTAGTGCACCTAAATGCTTCACCCGCTGAAAATTTAAGTTTTAAACAGATAAACGCGACAGTGTTTCTTCCGGAAATTATGGTACTTAACTCTCACAAACTATGGGTACCCCAAAACAAGAATATAAGTGTGACATATAATAGCAAAAATAGTATAATTTTCAATGTACTATCAAAGAAATATATTAGTGAAACCTGAGCTATTGTTATTTAAAGAAACAAAATGTGGAAACGATTAAGCCAAAAATACTAACCACATACGAGTAAACAACGTTTCTTATTTTCAACATGAATACTTTGTTTTAAAAAGATGTACAGTACAAAATTTTAGATAATCAGTTTTAATATTGTAAGATGACATGTAAAAATTACAGAATTAAATGTATGAAATAATGAAGGTTGAAGGAAAAAAAAAAAGGCTCAATTTTTATTTATTTGCTTCATTAAACATTTCTTTCAATATAAGTTAAGTTGTTTTGTGTTAATATTTTCTCTTTAATTTTACAGATAAACATTATTTCCTGTTCAGTTACAAAGTTCCACTGTTCAACTCTTGTCACTGCCATATTCAGAATTCTTACTATACTTTCAGATGAAATATTTTCGTTCTCAAAAAACTGTTTGCCACTTTCTTCATTACCAGTAACAATATTTTTTGCATACTATAATTTCAGCTTTTGCTTCTAATATCTGAAAAACTTCATGGCTATTATCATTCATTACTGGCATGAAGTAAGGTATAGCTGATGGCTAAAGTGCAGAATCGCCCACTTATTTGATTGGCGCTTTTTACAAGAGTTCTGAAATTCTGGGATTTTATTTTAAGTGAAAATAGGTCGATGTATACATGGATACCAAGTAAGTGCAACTCTTAAAAACGCGCCAAGCAGGTGAGTGATTTTGCACTTTCTCCGAGCTGGCTATCAAAATTAGGCCAAGCTAAATATCTGCAAATACATTCCAGAAAGCAGATTTTATGTTGAAACATTTCTAAAATTCTTGTATGGTCTTTCCACTGTTCAGAAAATTTATCAGACTTTAAAAGAGCTTTTTTTAATCTGCATTTCAATGCATGCAGCACGCAGAATGATATCCGTTTATTGAATGACAGATGCACAATTTGGAGAAAAGATCAAGATTTTATCTTTGATCAAAACTTTAAATAAAGTATGAGCCAAGCAGTTATCTAAAATCAGGGCTATCTTTCCCATAACGAATGGTGCATGTCTGGCAGCATCTCCACCACTTTTTATGGTTCGATGGGATTTTATAATAGGATAAGATATTTCAACTTTCCTGTTTAAGGCCTATGAAATACATTGACTTTCATGTCTGAAATGCATTTTTTCTCCAAAATCTTGCATAATTTTCAAATTAGGCTTCTGATAGTCTAGTTGATGATAAATACGATAATTTGTTTTTATAATTTCAGACCGGAAATTTCTGCCTTAGCTTTTCAAAGGTCAACTGTTATTTTTTATAATATGCTCTAACATCCAAAATTTTCACATATTCAACATTTTCCAAGGTTTTACCATACATATATATTTTGTAACTATAGCACTTTTTAATTAAAACTAAAAATTTTAATTTTAATCAACACTAAAAATAATCGAACCATTGACAGTTATTTACCGCATGCTCATTAATCTACAAATTAAAACAATAAACCCAATACAAATACGTAGAGAACATAACTTAAACACTTATTTTTATTCATATTTTGAAGTAGGACATTTCTTCAAAATCTCAAAAGCATAATATACTTTCAGTTTATGAACAACTCAGCAATGAGACATGTAGTTTGAGACCATATCGATTAATTAAAAAAAATTAATTTTCAGCAAATAGATAACCTATGGATAAAGAAGCAAATAAAAAAAAGTTTCAAATACGTTATGAAATACTTAATTTAAAAATTAATTGACAAAATAAAATAATAATAAATATGGTTAATTACAGTGTAATACTAATTACAAAATTAAATATTTTTATTTTTCTTCATAAGATAAAATCAATCTTATTAATATAGGAACATAAACAAATCACAGTTTGCAATAAGTTAGGAAACATTTTATTTACCAAAGTAGCACCAAAAATAAAGACAAATATGGACTTAATAATACATTGAATTATAAAATTAAAATTACCATATATTTTATGGGATCATTTAAATAAGCTAGAAGAACAAGTTATGTCGGGAAATTTGAAAAAAGTAGTTGACTTTAAATAATTTAATCTGCATATTAATCTAAATTAATACAATATGCAACAAAGTAACAGACTTATTACAATAACTAAGCATATTTTTCGCGAAATCAATGAATTATTTTAAAGTAAATATACAAAAGTGAGTTTCGTATAATTCTCCCAATATACAGAGAAATGTGCATGATATTCTTTATATATGTCTTATGTAAAGATTCCAAAAGGTTACGGGTTCAATTTTCATAACTTATAAATGATTATAAACGCTTATAACAAAATAATTTATCTTTCCTTTAGCATTAATTACGTTTTACTACGCCTACCTGACAATCTACGTTCAGAACGTCTTGATCTAGAATCTGAATCAAGTTGATCCATTTCTTTCGAAATAGAAGAATTAATTATATATTTTTCACATAATGTCGATGAAACATCTGGAATGAATTACGAATAAGTCAGTCATTTTCGGAACTATCTGTGAAGTAATCCATTACATATTATAAATATTGAGCAGACAGAATTACACAAGACCCTCAGATACCTTCATTTTTTAATATATTCATTTTTTTTTTTTTTTTCCATTCTTTATTACTTCATTCTGCGATTGCAGCCAGATCTCGTTTGTGTTAACTACCGAGTACACCAGCATGGTGTATAATCGTGCTTTTTGAAATTGCGCGATATTCGGAAATACTTAACTCATAATACTACGAGATTCTATTTATCATAAAACAAAATGGAATAATCTCTCCAAATTAAAAGTTATGCGATAATGGCGTTACACGACAAGATTAACTTCAATAACAGCGATCAACAATGTGATGTGATAACAGAAACTATGCCTTATGATAAAGAAAAGGTGTTAAAAATAGATAAAAGCATACGTTTCTTAAAATGATGAGAAGAAAAGGTAAGCAAGCATATTATACTCACTTCAATTTGGATTCAATAGTTATCAAATGCAATTCTAAATTCCTATGCGAATAATTTAGAAAAATCACGGTATAAACACGAAAATTTAGTGTAAGGAATAAGATAATTTTAAATAAAAAAGTAGGATTGAAGCGTAAAGCTTAATTTTCATATTCATTTTTAAAAATTCAATCTTCCATTTAGCATAGTTTTCTCTTTAGCTAACCTCCATACATTTTCAACGAAACTGCATTTACAACTCTGGCAACTTAGAATGTTGCGGCCTTTTTTTTATAATTCGACTTTTCGCGTGTGTTTATTATTCTTTAAGCATACAGCACAGTCATTTATACAACACCTCCTTCGGCACAATAGAACTTATCACTGTGCAAACAGGGTGAGGAGCGTAGTTATGTAATGTGCTCTATCTGTTGAAAATTTCATTTTCATCCTATTATTTGTCAAATCATCGGCGGTATGTTTATGATAAGGATATGCGATTGTTGGGGGCGGATGTAAGTTTAAACATCGGAATCTTGTTTGAATAATCCAGCATCTGAAACGATGGATCAGTTTTGCACATCAGAGTTTTGGGTTTGTTTATTTCTTAATATATGAAAGTCTAATTTGCAAAAGTAGAATTATTTTATTAGATCTGTTACTTCTGTGTGCGGTATTCTAACTTTATAGTACTTTTTAAAATAAATTCTGCTTATCTTCTTTATAAAATTCCTTTATCTCCATTTTATTTAGACAGATTATGATGTGAAATATTTCTGTTAGTTTATACTAATGCACGGAAAACTAAATAATTTAGTAAAGTTTATCCTAGCTTTAAAGTGCTCGAACTATAAATTCTGTGGGTGTTTTTTTCACCAATGATAATTCTGACATCGATTTTGCAAGAATTTTGTTTAGTTGTAGAGAATGAATTTGATAGTATTGGAGAAAAATTATAATAGTTCCGTTTTTGTTTATGTTAATTATTTTATTTCGTAAATCCAAATGCTTTAAAATGTTTGTAATGAACTACCTTAGCATAAAATGAGAACTGTTAAAAAATTATAATAAATTTTATTGCAAAGAATTCACACTATGAAGCATAATTTAATTGCCTCAAATGAAACACAGAGCATAGTGGGCAAATTTATGGTATAATTTAAAACAATCAGTATTTTCAGTATCTGAGAATAGCCTTTGTCTCAATTGTATTAAGAAAATAATGCCCTCATTAGCATATTATTTATGACAGCAGTTTTAAATTCAAGAGAATCTTTTCTTCAGAGTTTTAAAAAATGATGGAGCTATCCTAGCATTTTTTACAAATTTTCCCAAGACCATTGCATTGTGAATGAATTAAATTTTTCTCCTTTTAATATTGACGCAGTTAGTTTAATAATACAGTTTGTGGATTTCGCTGCATTTGTTATGAAATTTACACAGTTGACAAATACTATAATTTAGATGCATAATAATAACACTGATTTAATTAATAACATTTTACAAAGTTTAATATAAACAAAAACAGACCAACAGATACATGTGTACAGGATAAACATAATTAGAAGTGGAAGTTGTAGTACTGCAGTTATATTTAAAACTTATAATTATTAAGATTAAAATTACATACATAACAGATTTGACAAGCAAAGACTGTTTGAGCACCAGATCTGTTCATAAGGGTACTAAAATACAACAGGAAAGTAAAGTGCAGTTTGATTTCAGAGCAGAAGCAGAGCACTATAAAAGATCCATAGATGGCAGACTCGGTAATTTTCGGTACTTGAAATAGTCTTTTGAACTCGTATCATGAATTGAAAAAGTTTGCATTCAATATTCTGGGTGTCTTTGGGTCTGTGTGTTCATGTAAGAAATCATTTTTATAATGTAAATTTCATTAATTATAAATTTAGAAGTCTGATTACAAATGGGAATTTTGGCTTTAAATAAAAAATGACTAATTACAAATATGATATACAAAAACATTCAAAGGAAATGCAAGCTCATTGTTCACACAGATTAAAACCTGTGAAAACAATTGTGTGATTTTTTCCCTTCATTTAAAAAAGGTATAATAAATGTTATACTAGTTTAGAATATTATGGTAAAAGCTAGAATCTGCAGCATTCTTCTTCATTGGCCTGACAGTCCAAGGTGGGCCCTGGCCTTCTCCAGTACTCTTCTCTAGGTATCTCTGCTTTTAGTAACTTTTTTCCAGTTTTTGACCTTTGGAATGTTTAAATCATTTTCAACACAATTGATCCATTTTACTGGGAGTCTACTCTGTGGCTTTGTTAGAAAGATTTTCTTATAACACCGATCTTCATGCATTCTTGCCAGATGACCTGTCCATTTAAGTCTGTATTTTGAAGAACTTTGCTACAGGTTATCTTTAGATCTTTTAAAGCTCTGTGTTAGATCATCTCCACGAATCATTCACATGAACCCTGCCAAGTACATGGCGGAAAATCCCCAAAGCTTTTGTGTATAAATCAGGACAGATCTTTTATCTCCAGTACATAAAACATGATATGTAACAAATAAAGCTAACACACAAAACGTTAAAAAAAAACACCCCTTTGGACATGATGTAAAATCTGAAACTTTTAAATTTTTTCCCCTTCTTTCTTTTATTTAATTTTTTTGTTGGGGGGGACACCTAAAGAGATGTTAGCTCAAAGCAGCAATTAGTCTCGATATGGCATTTAGCATCAGATCATCATAAACGGCTGTATCACTTTATAAATTAATGCCACCAAATATTATCACCCTAAATTATTGGGTCATATAAAAAGTCTCCGCACTTTTTTGGTACATTTTTAAACAAAAATTTTCTTTATTGAAAATCAACTTTAATCAAGTATATATTGACCATTATTATCTATGATCTTTTGCCATTTTTTGAGATGTAGAACTTCTGTGGTTTATCGTTGAAAAACTTGGCCAAGTGATTTTCGCGGCATTCGTCGGCCATTTTTACACGAGTTTTGCGCCCAAACTAATGGTAGTCAAAAGAGCAGGTCGGCTATGCGGTGGATGCATCAAAACTTCCCAACCAAGCTCCATCAATTTGTTCAGTCATATCAAAGAGATATGTGTGGCCACGCATTGTTGTGATGGAACACAACTCCCTTTCTGTTGGTCAACTCTGGTTGCTGTTTCTGGAATGCTTTGTTCGAACGGTTGAGTTGTGCACAGGACAGAACCGGATTGATAGTTTTGACAGGTTGCAGCAGCTCATCATGGACAATTCCTTTCCAATCCCACCAAACACTCAACATACCTTATTGATGACATCCGGCTTTGAGTCTTGTGGAGGCGACTGGCTTTGACTAGATCGCTTGCTTTTGATTCTCGAATTCGACCATTTTTCTTTACTGTAAATGATTGCTTCAAAAGTGGTTCGATTTGTTGTGTTCAGCAGCTTTTACTGATGGAAGCAGCAATCAAATTTCTTTGTGTTAATTCTATGACACCCAAACATCAAGCTTTTTGTAGCTGCTCTTTTCAATGATTTCAACTGTCATTGTGGTGAATTTAGTGCCTCCACTATTCCTGACAGCTGCATTCGTATTGCCACAGTTGCAAAATTTTTCATTTTTCCCTTTTTCAAACTGGCGACCCAAGCGAGGTGCATCTTTACTTGAAAATTTCTGAACAGAAATCAAGCAACCACTCCTGATCTCGTTTACTCACAGCATTCTCCCATACACTCAAAAATTTTTTTCCTGTTTTTCAGCTTTTTACATTTTTATACTGAAAACATATAACATAGCATATTTCGGTACTTTTTCGTTTCGCCGGCGCAATCTCGCCAGAGACTTTATTGGACACATACAGATACCATAAAAAATTTAAAATATTGTTCTAAGAAATCTTTTTTGAAGCATAAACATTTTATATCGCTTAAAATTTTATAAAAGCCAATAAATTTAAAAAGACCTTAATTTAGAATTTACTATGTTTTCATGGTTCACATCCTGATTCGCGGTTCATATCAGTGACCCCGCGATCTCATCTCAGTAAACTACTGTACAAAATCTATGCTCTCGTACTACACATTCACATTAATTCAATTAAATCTTAATTGGAAAAAGTTAATGCAAGAAATATTTCATTGTAGATAGCTATCAGAAATTATGTAAACGCAGTGCTTTACTTCCTTGCATTCTCATAGAATTAATGAATTTAAACCTGACTTTACCTTTTCTTATTTCGGCTTCGGTTAAGCGCTATGAGGCATCCTAATTGATTTAATTACGAAAAATGGCCTTAGACATAAATGAACTATTGATAAAATTCTCTAAATAGTGCCAGTATTGAAACAATCATCGTAGGAAAAGCTGCGACTTGTTTTGAAAATGAGGCGTAAAAGTTACCAGCGAGAATATTCCGTTTGGCATCGGTTGTACCATTATTGGCGACTTTATCGCTTGCGCCGGCAAAACGGAAAAGTACCCATATTTCTTCAGATGTTTCACTCATTTTCAAATTCATATAGCTTTTTACACAAGCAATAAATTAAAAAACTATCTTCACAAGCAATGGAAGCTGAATATCACCTTTTAAGCACAAGTTCGTTTGAGAGAATCAGGTGAGTGTTGCCCAATATATAGGCAATCAACACCATCTAATATAAAGTCTATATAAGTAATCAACACCATCTAATAAACAGTCTCTGCACAAAAAAAGTGCAGAGACTTTTTATATGACCTAATATATTTAAAGAAATTAAATAATGAAGAATCTGCATTAATGTAGTATGTTTCTCCCAATCTGCAAAAACAACAATACCTTGAGCCATCAAATGTTGGATAACGTAGTCCTCCACTCGAATATGCATCCCTTGAAGCAGAATCTTAAATTTTGAATTTGTTTTATTACCTATTTAATACTTTTTTGACTTGCTGATGATTTTTGATTAAGAAACTTAAACAATTTCAAAGCGATCATTAGCAACAACCTGTATGCAATTAAATATTTTTATCTCCAGAGAGTTATCTAATTTTTTTAGAGAGATTTTTATCTTGAGACTCCATCAGAAATTCTAAAGATATGCTGTTTTTAAATATTTTAATAGTTTTGGGTGTTAACCCAAATGCTCTTGAAACATGTATGCATGTATAAATGAAGAAAACTCCCCTGTGTGCATAATGTTAACTCTGAGAGTGGTAAGATTGTATTTATTTATTTATCTCGAAAATTATTTTTAAATGCTGCTTTCTGGCAGTCTGCAAATAAATAAATAAATAAAATAAAAAAAAAATTAAAAGATGTTTTCTCAGAGCTTGTAATAACTCACTTGTTCTGGAGGTTTGAACAATTACAACATTGCATATTAACTTTATAGTCACTCAGTTTCCTCATGGTAACTCAGTTCCCTGTTATCATTTTGAAGTTTCAGATATGCCTTTATAGAACTTAAATTCTGAATTCCATCAAATGCACTTTATAATTTCTTTTTTCTTTTCTGTTGCCTTTGCCACCTACATGTATTCTGATAACTAATTAAGTCAGGTATACTAACAGTTTAGATAAAACATTTCTTGTTGGTAATCCTAACAACCTATTTTTCATGTCATTATCATAATCAGATTCATTGAATTTATTGCTGCAAATTCCAGCAGTCTTCGTACCCAGAATATCCACTCCTTAATATCTGTGCAGTTATTCTTTCATTAACTGAAAGCTTCTATGTGCAAATCGATGAAATGTCATGTTTGTTTTATGGTATGCCGCAGGTAACGATGACACATTAAATCAGTTCTCAATATTTTTCTGTTGCATACATTTTCTAAATACAAATTGTGATGAGACAGTAGCTTAAAATTCATAATGAGGATTTCTTTAAATTTAAGCAATTCTCAGCATTCAAAAGTTTTCATTTTTCTTTTAAAAGTAATATTAAGTATGCTGTGATTTTGGTAAATGTATGAATGCATTATGTGATCATGTGTATTTATCTTTTTATGTTGCCTGTTAAGATTTCACTTGTCGAAACTTTGCTTATTGCCTTTTACTTACGTAAAAGGTTTATAACTGAAATGGTTACTATAAAGTTTTTTAACTGAAATGGTTTTTGAATTTCATTGCTAGTTTTGTGAACATATAATTTCTTTGGTCCATGCAAATATATATACCATGGTTGGCCAAACTTCATGTCAGTAAGAGCCGCACGTTTGAATTCAGGAATGTTCGAGAGCCGCATCTAGATTTTCTAGCCACAAGTTCATAATTTACGTCATTATAGAAGTAGTGAAGGAGTTTATAAAAAGAAAGAAATCCCTGATAACTTTGTAAAAGAGTCTAAACTAATTAATTGCTTCTTTTTGGACAGGAATAGTTTAGTTTACCATATTTCATACATATATTTTATATGCACGAGCTGCACAAATTGCCTGCGAGAGCCATATCAGGCTCGTGAACTGCACTTTGGCCACCCCTGATATATACAGTACAAAGTCCGAGATTTGGCTCATCATGAGTTCGGCAATTCCAGATTTTGGAATTTTCTGGATTTTATATCATCAGTTTAGACCTAGCAAGATGGCATGTAGAAATATTAAATTAAATGTATTAATAGTTATTTAGGAAATATAATGATGCATTTTTCACCTTAAGAAAAAGCTTAATATTTATTTATTTAATTTTTTACTTTTATGAAACATTTTTTTCATAAGGTGCTTTGTATTTTTGTGTGAATACTTTCTGTAATAATTTAAACAGTAAATCTGTGTTCATATTGTTGAATTTAGAATACATGACAAGCGAGAAACTAATAGCAGAAATTGTAATTATCTTACCCTTTTCTATGGAAAGCAAAGTGTTACGTGCTTCCTTTTCCTGTAGTGTGTAAAGACCTGTAGTATGTAAAGGAAAAGAAGGAAGATATTTTACACTATTTCTTTCATCTACTAAGAGTACAAATAATGATTAAAGGAAACTTTGAAAAATTAAATTTTGTATGGAATGTTTTATTATTATCTCCTGATGAGATTAAGTTATAGTTTTATTAACTGTTTACATTTTTTATGGAACTTTATGTGGATGAACAAACATATCTAATAAGTATACTTATATATATATAAATCAGCAACATGGCAGAGCCTCATATCTGCATTTTTTAGGTTATTTTCTAATGTTTTTATGACATGGCAGAAGAGAGGTATATATTCTTTAGAAAAGTAAGCAGAGCATTATGTAAAATTCATAATTTGCCTCAAGTATCAGATCTTTCAATGCATTATTTTTGAAACATAAGTTTTGCATGCCCTCTTCGGAGGGCATTGTGTAAAAACATAAAATTATTTTATTTATTTATGTATTTGAATGCATTTGTGGTCATTACAGAACCAAACCTTATTTTGGGATACTACAACTCCAGTTTTCACACCTTGTTTCTTGAAATTAGCCTTAATATGGGGACCTGTTGTATTTTTTTGGATATTTGCTCCTGCAGAGATTTACTATCTAATAAAGAACAAAGAAAAAAAAATTCCATGGTCTGCTCTAAATATAGCAAAATTGGTAAGAAATTCATTTTGTGATTTCTCATCTCACTCTGTTACTTGTTTTGATTTGGCAAATTTCTCAAGCAAAATTTGTTCTCCCTTCCAGGTAGGTGTGTTTCTTATGATGGTACTCACTATAACAGATATGATTTATCAGATGATTCGATTCACAAAGGAAGATGTTCGTCCTGTAGAATATTATACACCTTTTGTTCTTTTTGTCACAATGGTAGGTATAGATATATTTATTTTTAAGGAGGCTGATTATTAAATTTTTCATTTTTTAAAAACTTTCATTGTCATTGAAATTAAAACTTTTAGTTTAAGAAAAACAAATTGAAGTGGAAATGAAAGTATATATATATATATGGTACATACAGTCAAAAGTCGTTAATTCGGACACCCATAATCCGGAATGATCTATATAATCCGGACCTCAAAGCTACAAACTTGACGCATGCGTGTAAGACCTTTACTGCTGCGAATATGCGTGTGTGCATCCGCATAATACGTTTACACATGCGCGTTTAATGTATAACGAATGGTATAAGCTAAGCTAAAATTATCTAATTCAGTTAATGTTGCAGATTGCAATTGTTCTTAATCTTCGAATGGATCCGGCTTATTATTTTTTGCAGATTGTTAGAGCATTTAGAAAAGGAAGCTTGAACTTTCAATTTTGTCAAGGAGAATTTCCGATATATATTTACTAATATGTAAAGGATCTACAAAGCGAAAGTATGTTTCAAAGTCCATTAAACAAAAGTGAAATTGCTGCAAAAAATGGATAAAGGCATATCCTTTGTTTCTCTAACCATTCCGAAATCTGTTTATCAATTTCACGTAGCTCTGCGGCCGGGGGGGAGGGAAAACGCCGCAGTGCGCAATGGAAGTTGATCTGTCAGCACTATCCCAGGGTGTTTGTGTTCCGGGGATTTTGAACTTTGATCCCCGGAAATTCCAAGGATCGTCGTTCAAAAGGAAGTAGGAATAATAATGAATTATTTATTTTGATCGGGTAATTTGTTTGCTTGAAAGCAAAACGCAGGTCAGTGTGTGTGGTAAAAACGTTCCTTTCATTTCCAAAGGCAGTGATATGCGTGAAAAGGGGGAAAAAATTTTTTTTTCTTTCCGTATTGAGAGTATGACCATTCCCCCGGTTCTCTGACATTCTTTTCTGGTTCTTTTGGCAAGTAGGCGCGGCAGGAAAAAAAGGGAGAGACTTCTTCGACCATGTGCGATCAGGACTCTGGGTTTCAAAGGTTTATCCTCTCCTGGCGTGGCGCCAATAAGTAGAGAAGGGGGATTTTTCGCCGTATTAGCTATTTGTCATTGATCGCTTCTCAGCTTTTCCTCCTGTGTAAATTTTCGTTTCATTTATTGATGCAGGTGTAATTTTTCGTTTCGTTTATTGAAATTTTTTTTTTTTTTTTTAATTACAAGAGAATTTTACTATGAAATTCCGATATAAATAATGATATTATACAATTAGAAGAAGGTGTCCGGAATGCATTTTGGGGAATTGGATTGAACGAGAGATGGTAATGGGATACCATCGGCATGGTGCAAGAAAAATAAATGTTGCTGGACAAGCATATTGTGTTTTTTGTAACTCACTGCTGAAGTATGGGGGAAGGATCAAGGCTTTCACAAATCATTCTAAAAACTGTGACGCACATAAAATATTCAAAGTGCTTAGACATTCAATGACTTTAAGTAATTATGCTAATTCAAAAAATACTGATGACTTGCTGGAGACTGTGCTCGGCCATTGGAATAGTGACAAGAAAAGCACGCCAAGAGGTATTAATAACTTCATTTCGCCGAGAATTCTCTTTCTTTCATGTAGCTCCAATTTAATTGACTCCTGCAAACGTTGAGCCGCGATCAGAAGGCACAAACTCGTTGGAAATGTCAGGACTTCTGCATGTTAGAAATGAAATATGGGCTCGCAAAAACTAGTAGGGAAATATCATTAAAAATTAAAGGAGACTCCATTTTCTCTAAATTTGGATGAAAGTAGCAATGCTCAAGAAAGTATACTACGCAATATTGGTGAAGTTTTATGACACAATCAAAAGAAGTTGTAGTTCCTCATTTTGCATCTCTAAAGTGGAATCTGCAATTCAGAAGCGTTTTTAAAGCAGTTGTTAATACTATTGAAGATAATAATATTCCATGGGCAAACTTAATTAGTGTATTAATGGACTCATGTAACACTATGCGTGGAAAAAAAAAGGGTGTTGAATCCAGACTACGATCAACAAAGCACCCCACTTATTAGATATTGATGGGACACATGTCACACAGCTATAACTGTGCAAAAATTTGCTTCATTTTTGATAGAACTTAGAAGATTGTTTGATGACATCTATTTGATATGAAAAGCTGCAGTAAAAGAGAAAATTTTTCAAATCTGTGAATCCCTTGCCATTAAAAACTAAGCCCTTGAAGAGACCAGACAAGGTGGGTGTACATTTTATGTGTTTTAGAAAGAAAAGATCTGTGGGATGCTCATATTGCATTTTATTTCACTATTGGATAAAACTGATAAGGGGATTAATTTTTCTTATGTGAAACTGTATACAATAAAAGAAATATTTCTGCAGCTCAGAAAAAATTGTTGAAGGAATGTATTCTTGCTTGCATTCCAACAACTCACAAAGGATGCTTTAGCTCGGAAAAAAAATACTAAATGGGTTATTTTTATGCAAAACAAAACTTATTGCATATGGCATTAGATTCAGCAGTATTACCAGAGTTCAACACATATATTAAATTATTTGAAACAAAAAAAACCAATGCTTCATTTAATACCTTCCATATTTATAAATTGATGGCAAAATTTTTCTCTTTTATTATGAAGCTAGAAAATATAGAGTGCACATCTTATAATGATTTATTAAAGGTTGATGTCACAAATCCAGAATTCCATTTTACCTAGCAAAGTAATATTTACTGGTGCAGAAGCTTCCACTCTCCTGAAGAAATTATCAAAAAATCATCCAATAGCAAAAGAATTCCAAATTTCTCTGATGAAAGCTTATACTAATACAGCACAGCATATGAAACAGAAATTACTCCTTAAAAATTCATATCTAATTAGTTTTACAGCATTAGATCCAGAGCTAAGAGGTAAAACCAGAACAATATTAGCTTTTGAAAAATTATCATCTTTTATGTCCATATTTTTAGGGATAATGAAAAGTCAAAAGTAGAAGCTGAATAAGGTTTCCAGAGTGATATTGATAACACCAAAGAAATGCTCTACAATCTGATGAAAGTGGAAATCAAGTAAAGTGTACAATTGATAAATATTGGTCTAAAGTTTTTAATTTAAAAGATGATTTCACAAATGATGTATAAGTATTCTACATTGGCTAAATTGGTCAAGCCTGCCTTAGCTGCTTCCATGGCCCATTAGTGGAAAGTGCATTCAACTTAATGGATACACTTGTCACTGACTATAGAACCTCTCTTAAGATTGATCCCTAGATGCAGTGCAGACTATTAAATATGATTTAATGGCTTCTAAAGAAACTCATGTGAAAAATATGGCTAAAAAAATCCAATGACTGATCCAATTCACAAAGATCTCTTACTGAATATGAACAGAAGTTGGAAAACATATCAAGAGGACTTAAAAACATGTATTTCAGATGAGTCACCTATAAAAGTCTCTGAAAACCTTCTACATTAGCAAAAAGCAAACTGCTTCTACCTCTGCATGTGCAGTTCTCGACGAAATTTCTTCAACTGTAATGAGAAAATACAAGTCAACCTTCCTGTAATTATTAGTTCACCACAAAAGAAAGACAAGCCCACAACATCAGAAATAAAAAAAAGCAGTAGAAATTAGATATTTTTTTTAAAGAGTTAATTCAGGTAATTTAAATTTTACATAAAATGTAGTAGTTTATATGTTTGAAAATTTATGGTTATTAATTTGCAAAAAGTAATACATTAACTTATATATTAGGTCATTCATACTTCATAATTGTAATTTTTCATTTTTCTCCCCCCCCCCTCTTGAAACTCCAAAATGTCGGTAGTAAGTCCGTAAAAGTTTCAGGGGATTTTTTGAGGTCCCACAAACACCCCTGCTATCCTTATCTTCAGGGCAGATGTTTTTGTTTTATTTGGCTTATAATTCCTTACTAAATGTAGTATTTCATCTCAATGTACTCCTTCTATGATATTATTTAAACAAATTCCTCGTCATTATAATTCGCTTTCGATAGTGAAGAAAGTGACACAGAGGCTATTGAAAACGAAAAAATTTCGATTGACAAATTAGTCTGTATTCTTGACACAGCAATTATAGGACTTGAACAGCTGAACTTAATAACTGAACAAAATTTTTGTCTGTTTATAGAATTAAGAGAAAGTTTATCACGTAAACGAAGCACTTAAACACTTACATTGAAAGAAATGTTTATTAAAGTAAACAAATAAATATTAAGCTTTTTTTTTTTTTTTTTTTGTAATTTTTATACCTTTAGATCATAATTGTTCTTTTTTCATAATTCGTTTTCATATTGTTTATAAAAAGCTCAAGTACTTGTTTATTTATTTATTTATTTATTATATTTTTTTAATATTATTTGAATGAAAATTGGTAGAAATTGGGAAGTATTTAAATATTAAAAACTGCAGTATTGTTTGATGAAGTTAAGAGAAGGTTTAGAGTTTGGCTTGTTTTGGTAGCATAAAGTAGTTCCAAACTCGTAGCAAACATAAAGCAAATTATCAATATGGCTGAAATTAACTACAAAGACTTAAAAAAGTTTAAATTAACCTTTTTATCAAAACAGAATTCTTGTGCTAGTCAACCACCAGTTGTAGCAGTATAATTTAAAGTAATGGTCAAATTCAAATTTAAAATGTAGGCTAGTAATCAAAGATCATACAATTAATTTAAATCTAAGCTGGCTCAGAAAAGTCCATGCTTCCTTATTATACTATAGTAAAGTGACCACACGTCTTGATTTTGGCGGGACAGTCCCGCTTTTTGAAGGACTGTCCCGCGTCCGGCCAATTTTTTAAAATATCTTGCTTTTTAGAAAACATCTGCATTTGTTATTTTAAATGTACTGTAAAAATATATTACCTATTATTTATTAATTATTATAGCGAATATAAAGAAATAAAAAATACATAAATAAAAAAACACATAAAATGCATGCAGAGTAAACTAAATTAGGCGATGTAGCGAGTTAGATTTACTCG